TTTTGAAAAGTTTTTTGAGATTACTGTAAATAAAGTTGTTAAAAAACTTATAACAGACAAACTTGACCAAAAACTTGCTTGCCAAACAAGGCCATTGTTTATCAAAAGTCAGCAGCTGCAGGGAATTCAATTTTCACACGTAATAACACAAAGGTTATTATGAGGGTTGGGCAGTACAGTTGAAATTGGGCACTGCAATTGAGTGCTGTTGTTGAATTTGTTTGAAGATTTGATGTACATTTCTGTATCATATATATATATATATAACCGGAAATCTGTATTTGAATTCGTCCACCTAGCTGCCCTGAGTTGTAAATTATGTCTTCAAATGTGGACACAACATTCAAAAGTCCTCCACAAGGCTAAGTGCAATGAGATGCTAATCTGTAAGATTATCCTTGCAGAAGTATTTGACTTAATTGCATCTTGCTAGCATCGAAATGAATATTAGTTAAACCAATGGACTAACATCAGCACGTGACCGCCAGGGAGGGGCCGATGCGATTAGGGTCTAGTACGGTTCGATCTGATTTTTTTACATTATTTGATGTACAATTATATTATATTATTATATTCGAGATAAAAGCGACATATATGAATAAAATATTTGACATACATCCAGTATAACATGATAATGTATTTGTATAACAAAAATTTAAACATGTAAAACGACCGAACAAAACCGTACAAAGTACAGTGCATTGAGTCCTTGTCCCGACTGATATAAGAATTTTGAAGACACAATAGCAATGTATTCAATGTAATCTTTCGGACCATGTAGTAGCTCTGTATAGCTCTTGAAAATTCGCCCTCAAGAACGACCAAGTTTATGAGGTTACGTCATGTAGTAAGTAGGGCAAATTCCACTTTACCCCCCTGTGGTTTAGCATTTTTCACATAACCCCCTTATGGTTTCAAAAGCTATACATAACCCCTTTATGGTTTGGATTAAAGTGTCAAAGTAACGGAAATAGTCACTCGTAACGGCGACACCTAAAATGTCAAAAATACCCTTATGTAAGGTTGAAATTTATGTATTAACCAAGGGGGGTTATGTGTATATTTTGAAAATCATAAGGGGGTTATATGGTAAATTATTAAATCATAAGGGGGTTATATGGTAAAATATAAAAATCATAGGGGGTTAATGTGTCATGTATTTATAAGGGTAATTTCGACATTTTAAGAAGTTCCGTTACGAGTGACTATTTCCGTTACTTTGACACTTTAATTCAAACCATGAGGGGGTTATGTATAGCTTTTGAAACCATAGGGGGGTTATGTGAAAAACGCTAAATCACAGGGGGGTAAAGTGGAATTTGCCCTAGTAAGTAGGATTTATCTTCCAAGCACTCTACCAATTAAGCACTTGGTTTAAGTCCATAAGGTCTTGAAGTTAGATGCATACTTTCGAAATTCTAAGGGCCAAGATTAAGTTTGAGTAGTAACTTTTGTCAAAGTCCTAATTTCTAATAATGAGCTTCAGATTTAAAAAAAAAAAAAAAAAAATCTTCTGCTCATGATAACTCATGAATTTCTTGATACAGTAGATTTTTAAAAACAATCAACTTTAGTTATTAACCATTTCAGATCTTATAGATTTGAGTTCATTGTTTCGAGTCGTTAACTATTCTTTTCTCAATAGTCATATTGGGATTTTTCTTAATTTCATTTTGATTGTCTTTACCTAAAAATTGAGGAGGCCTGTTGCTCAATTATGCTCATCATTGCTAATCTTTTCCACAAATCCGCTAATCTAACTTGGCAAATTAAATTCTTGAGAAACTGTTTATAAAATTAAGATAGCTCATAAATCCATCAGGCATCCCTGATCTAAGCCCCCACTCCAATAATAACTCCAGATTTTCCTTTGCTTATGGAGCTTTAGGCCAAGAAATACATGTTAATTATGCTGCACTCACTACTGGTGCAACAAATTGCACAGTAGAACCTGCATACTTCAAAAAAATGTTCTTATTCCTCTCTTGCCATCCATATATGCCAAAAACTGTGGCTGAAAATACCAATCTTCTGAGCTTATCAGCAAAAGAATCAACATGTTTACTCTACCAATCAACTTCCAATTGCCAGTTCTTAATCTTTCTATAAAACAGACGCATTCTTTGAACTTTGTCCCAAACACATTGTGAAAAATGATCAATAGATTCAGTAATCTGTCCACACAGAACACAGATTGGGGATACATTCTGAACACGCCATCTACAAAGTCTATCTTTATTGGATAGCCAACCATAGAATAAACGCAATTTTTGAGTATTATTTCTGATCCATACTAGCTTGTGCCATCCCATCCCGCTCTGAAACTAGAAGGAAAAATTTCTTCATTTCAGATTTAATCGAGAACTCACCTGTGAAAGAAGCCAGCTAACTCAAATGAGCCTCTCTATGCAAATATTTCTACAATGAAAACTAGTTTTTCTGCCCCGCCCCTCAAACCCACCACAAAAAAAAATCAGATCATGTGACTTCCAAGCTCATTTAAAGTATATATTTATTTCATGATAATCTTAAGAAGAAACTCAAAACATGAATTTTAGTGGTTGTATTTTAAGAACAAATGTTAATCATAATTTGCAAATATTCAAATTAAACACAATTTATTCATTGGCAGGTGGAAAAATTTACAACACGCAAGTCTGATACACAATCAAAAGTTCTACCGTACACAATCACCGTTATGAAATCGTAACAATGCTTCTTTGTCGAAAGCTCATTAGGTGCCAATACAAATCAATGTTCCATTGGCATAATAAAGCTTGCAGCCTCGCTGGAGGACACAACAGTTGCAGACTGGGGTAAGCTGCTCAGACCCTGAGGATGGGCAAGTCGTATAACCCTCTATTTTAAAACAAATCTGTGGGCAAAGTTTTGCACTTGCGTTAGCCACCTTGCTTCCCAGAAGAATTATTGCTGTTGTATAAAAAAAAAAAAAAAAAAAAAAAAAGCAAACGTTAACATTAAGTGTAAAGTGTCTTATTTTTGGGCTTGTGGAATGGTAATTTATTAAGCAAAGTGAGCAAGAACAGTAAAACTAATGTTTTATTTATTGTAAACCAAGATTAATGAGAAATTTTGATGTAAAAACAACTTCACATAACTCTATTAGCATCCATATTTTTATGAGGAGTTTTGCTTCAAAGCAGCGGTACCTATGGCTGTAGTCTATTTATAGCAAGGATTGGACCAAACTAGTAAAAACATATGTATAATGAATTCCTCCTTTAGAGTTAAATTCAACAGTGAACAATGAAGATTTTGATAAACTCAATTGACTAATTGAGGTGCTTAAAACTGTAGCGAGGAAAAGAAAAGTATCTGGAATTACAGGAAATTCAAATTCACACCTAATTAAGAAAAGTATCTATTATAGTTAGGACATTCATTCAAAGTCCAAGAAGAGGAAAATTGCAAATAAAAGGACAAGGGTCCAATGGTCAAAGGACAAAGGTCCAAAGAGTATAAACAAATGCTGAAAGCATATCTGCTAATGTTTAATATGACATCATTTCCATTTCTAGGGATACATCAAAAGTAGCACATTTCAAACAGCAAACTACGAGCATCAATGTCCTCTAATATAAGAGCGTTGCCATTCTATGTTCCCTGGAATTTTGCCTCTGGATTTGATCCACTAATTGCTTCCTTGTCATTGCAATTTGGATATGTCTCCATCCTATTTGAGCAGCCTTACTGATTGTTAGTTTAACAGTCTCTGCCATGTCTTGCGGCTGATCCTCTGAGCTCCTTTCCTTCATTGCCCAGCATGCCAATACAGTTCCTGATTGGTCTTTTGCGATGATTCCCATTCCTGCCTTTCTGGGACAGGCTGCGTACTTGGATGCTGTTGCATCTTGGATCCATTTGGCTGCTCATAGCTGTCCTCCTAGCCTATCTATTATTGTCTCCGTTATTAAGAAGAATCGAGTAATATCAGTTAAATACCTAACATCTGCTAAAAATTACAATTACCCTACACGTGTTCAATTGCTAACTTTCTATCATAAATATGGGATTAATGACTTCAAACTACATAAATATTTGTCATACATGTCTTAACTACGTTTTATCATTTAAATTTGTTTGGGTACTCACTTGAAAAATTACCCTTCTCAAAAGTTGTAATGGTTTTTGGTCTTCAATTTTTTGAGGTTACAATGGAAGACAACCGGCTTATTTCCTCAATATTTGGTCCATGCTGCCATCTAACTCTCCCCTAAAATGCTGGAAAAATATGAAGCTAGCTACTCATACTTTTTTTTTTATTCCGAATTTCCTTGCATTTTGCTACTTGTAGAAGATTGCACATGTTGCCCTAGGAATAGCATTTAGATGTCTATTAGAAATTTCCATCCGCAAGCTTATAATAGCCAGTAGCAAAAAATGAACGCTAATGACTAGGACTAACCTTAACTAATCAACACCCTATTCACAAGGAGAGTAACAACTCCATCTCTCTCCTTTTCTGTCCCCTCACCCTTCTCCTTTCTGCAATTTTTCAAATTGTCCGAAAAGATATTTCATCAATATTTTCTTGTCCAGGTGATCTACCATTGTTATTTCTAATTAGCTCTTTGGTTCCAATCATAACTGATCAATGCTCCTCATTGCACTTTAAAAACAACATGTTTCCACGGCCCCTTATACTCAATAAACCTTCTATTATCAGGGTTCCCAATTCCTTGTTTGCCTAACAATTCCCTTAAAATTTGCATTGCATGTCTACTAGATTTTGAAATTCTTATTTTTAATCACCTCAGAGTTGATCACAGAAGATTAGTTGGTAACTAGTCATAGAATATTGATCTGTATGATTTTGTCAGAAAAAAGTTATTTTTGTTTATTTCTTTTCTTTTATTTTTTTTAATTGCTACCATGTTGAGCTAAATGGATTTCTAAACTTACCCATTGATTTTGGTGCAATCTGCGATTTACATAATTTATTTTCATTTTCTGTTTCTTCTTCAGGTTGAAGAGCTGTGATGGATGCAATGAGAGGACAAGGAGGCATTCAGATGCTGCTAACTGCAGAACAAGAGGCTCAACAAATTGTTTCAGCTGCTAAAAATAGTAAAACATAATTCCTATTTTGTTTTCTAGCATATATAGTCATAATTCCAAAAAATTCCATAACTTCCTGAAATTCTACGAAAAATATAGCAACATGTTTGTTCTTTTTGTCCTTTTTGCTACTTCAAATGAACTTTTCTTGCAAATCCTGTCTTGCCCTTTTGTCTCTCTGGGAATATTACAAAATAGATGACTAATTAATAATTTTTTTCCCCACAGGCAAAATGGCCAAGTTGAGACTGGCCAAAGAAGAAGCTGAAGGCGAAATAGGACAATATCGTGCGAATTTGGAAGCAGAGTACCAAAGGAACATATCTGAGGTTTGTTTTCATTAGTTTAATACTTTGATCAGCCACTGGAATTTCAAGATTGATCCTATGGAATTCCTTGTTTGTCAGTTGAATATTTGAATGGCTGTAAATCCCTAGATGTTCCCTATCTGACTTACAGAAAAGTGGGAACTCCGACTTCACATTGAAACGTCTTGAGACAGAAACTGAGACCAAAATTCGGGACCTGAAGGACTCTGCCTCAAAAGTATCGGCAGATGTTGTTGCAATGCTCATCAAGTACATCACAACTGTGAAAAATTGATCCATGAAGGTATGTTCATGGTCATCATCGTCTAACCTCATATTGCTTTTGATGTTCTTATATTGAATCCCGAATAGAAAGTTTCTAGTTCGAAAGTGTCGTTCCACCGGAACAGAAAATGAATATTAAACAGAAAAATAAAATGAAAATAATATAATACACACAAGTGTGGAGGGTTGAGGTTCGAATAGTTCGCTTTATTTAAAGTGATTCAAGAATTTATCGAAGAATCAACTCTGGTGCAATAGGATTTCTAACTTATTACTCCTAAAATACAATAGCAATGTCATTAATTTATACAACTAAAAGAGTATAACTCCAATAGCATGTTTTTTCTTACTTTACTATACATGAGATAGAAAAGTAAAGATTTCTTCGAACTCTGAAATACAGCACTAATAGTCGTAGTACTAGTATTCTTTGAGTTTTCTGTCTCAAGCTACAGACATATACATAAGTGATGAAAAGCTAGAAAAAACATAAGTTGCATTAATAATAGCATGCCAGATAAATGTAGGCGTTGGGGGAGGGTTGGATTGGGTGGTATGGGGGAGGGGGTGTAAGCAAGAGGTCTCGGGTTCGAATCCTCTCGCTTACACTAAAAAAAAAAGAAAATAAATATAGGCGTTATTAGCTGGTTATTCAATTAGTATTAAACTTGGAATCATAGGTTACATTGTTTCTGTAAGTGAAAACCTTTAATTTTTTTATTATAAAGGTGAATTAATCAAAATCAGTCAAATACTATAACTCTCAAAAAACAGTTATTGTAGTTCTCTACTTATGCATTTAATTATCTTTTTAAAAGGATTTCTTTCATGAGGCACTTAAGTACACCTAAATCTCACCTAGCCTTCCATTTAAAAACACACACTAATAATTATTAATCTACCTTGCATTTATATAGGCTCCTTATTTAGCTTTAGATTTTCAAAATATTAACAATTGAACTACATATATAATGAATGTCCATTGGATACTCGTTAAATAGACTCTTAGTAATATAATCCAACAAAAATAATCCAATAAAAGTTACAGCTCATATGTCCTGCAATGTCATATCTAAGTAGCACAGTTTGATTCTTGCTTCCCATAGAAACTTAGCTAACCTCAATTCGGATTAAGCACGGGTTTTAGAGCAATTTTGACTGAGAAAGCATTCATTTGGATAGGCTTTGTTGCCATCAAACTTTCCTCTCTTGTTGTCTGTGTTTCACGTTCCTTTGAGATAAACAGTAAAAACAAACGAAAGATGTTGATTGTGTGGGATGAAAATAAAATAGGAGTTTTCTTTTGTAGAAGGAAAAAGTATGCAATTGCTGAAAATCCTTATTCACAATGCTTAAGCAATAAAGCAAATTAATGTTGATCATGAAGCAAATATGCAGGCGGTGATGCTGATGGAGTGTGCAATTGTACAAAGGGCAAATGCAAAGCAATAACTTGCAAGAGGACATTCAACGGAGCTGGTCAATAGTGATATTTTGACCTTTTTGGAGATCTCTGTTGCCTGCTCTAATAGTCATTTCAATCTATTATCTCTACAAGTGGATCTTTTTTCTGATTCGATCTTATTGTTTTTTGCAACAATTACAGCTTTGTAATTTTCTATTTTAGCCTAGTCGGTCCAGTATGTTTTGCCTCTCCATTTCTTGGCCCAGGAGGAGCGTTTTATAGCTTTTACGGAAAAGATGTTGGAAAAAGCACATTCTGATAGATAAACCTACTTAAAACCTACAACCTTTGACGCATTGAAAAAATTTAAAACAAGAAGCACAACATGCTGGTGATCTTAAAGATAGATAGGCCAATTGACATAGTCACCAAATAATTCAAAGAAATCTAAACTAGGGGCCTTTGGGTAATTTTATTTTATTTTTGGTTTATGTTCTTTGCCATGAACGAAATAGAATGCTTGTTTTGTTAATCAGCAAAAATAGAACATAAACATATTTGGTTCATAACACCATTTGAGAAACAAATAATTACAACTATGTTTGATTCGATGTTACAAAATGATTAATGAGGTTAAAATATTAATATAATGTAACAAATTAATATAATATTAAAGTTAGCCGGTAATTATGGACTGGGTTTGGGCCAAGTTAATTTCAATTTAAACTGGGTCTAACCCACATAATAGTATCAATTAAATATTTCATATGTTCAATACTTATACACATTCAAAATAAATAAGATTATATAAAATAATTGTGTGTTAATCTTAAAGCATTTTTCATTTAATTAAGTAACATATAATTAATAAATTAAGAATTCATTTAATTAAGTAGTATATAATTAATAAATTGATACATATATGTCATAAATATATGGGTTTAGTACTTTTTACTTATATCATATGAGTAAAACAATTTTTAAATCTTAAAACATATGATTTTTTCAAAAAAAAAAAAAAATTTTGAAGCTAACCAATTTCAACCCAAAACCCATTTTAGAAATACGGGCGGAGACAAGCTTTACATGTGTGTGCTTTTAATGGGTTGATTTCAGGCCTAAAAGTGAGATTTATTTTTTCCTTATTTTGGGTTTGGACTCGTTGAAGCCCAATTAAAAGCAAACCATAAGCGTTAACCGAGGACGGGTCAAGTTGGTCCAGATCATATTAGGTTGTAACGTGTCAAATAGGATAAGGTGTCTTGTGGGATAATCAATGGTGGTTGAGTGAAGATATAATAAACAATTTACAACGTTAATTTATTGATTTTTCATTTTAGATGTCCTTTAAACAAGTAAAAACAACATATTGGTGTTTTAAAAACAAGTCTCATGTTCATAAATGTTTCTCTTTTATATCAAAATACGAGCAGTTTATTAAACGTTGTTTTTTGTTTTTGTTTGTCAAATTCTATAAATAAAAATATAAAACACCAAACATAAGCATTACCAAATAGTATTTCATGATTTTTATCAAACTTCAACTAGGCATAGTATGAAGATTACCAACCTAACTGGGAAAAAAATACTGAATTAATTAGTGTCATTATTTAAGTTCATTGCAGTTTTCTTCTTTATATTTTAATAATTTCTTAAATTTTAGGTCTTCAAGGTCATTTTGATCTTTCATTATTTCAAAGCATTTAGAAAGAGTCTTATTTAGCTATTTGATTATATTAAGAAACTTATTGAAGTCTTTGTTAAGAAAAGTTCCACAGAAGTTCTAAAAGCATTTTGCTTATGTTGTTGCTTAAGAAATAGGAATCTATTCACTATAGGATCCTATATTTAGATGATCGATGAATTCCTATAAGTGCACAGGGTCGATCATAGTAATAAATTACTTGGAGTATTCCAAGGATGAACCCACAAGGACGAGTTAATTTTCTACTTTAATTATTCTACCAAAATAACAAAATTTAAATTCAAGGCATTGTATTTTCTAACTAAGCAATAAAATAATAATCAATTCAAATAAAGTAGTGGTGAGAATACAATAAACGCAAGTCTAAGGTTTTAGGCTTTAATCCAAATTTTGAGTTAATTATCTAGTTAATTTTTTTAACAAACCATGAATGCATCACATAATTGTATTTTAGATTATCTTTTGATACGTTTAAAGTGTGCCTAATTAAATCCTACATCTCTCTCGAGATCGCAAGTATTCAATTAAACCCTTTAAGAACTTTAGTGATATAAGTGCGTCATATAAATTCTAACCTACTCTTGTGATTAGGTTAAATATGTTTATCTATCTAGTGCACGGCTTTATCTTGCCTCTCAGTTTGAACAAATCCAGAAATTATGTCTATGGTGATTAGGCATAAACACGTAATTAAAATCAGGATAGATAAATCATAACGAAAAGCATGAATTAAAATCAAGATAGATAAATCATAACAAAAGGCAAGAAATTAAATTAGAAAAATTATTCAAATTCTTTCATAAAAATCCTAATCCTAGAAACAGTTTAGTTCAACATAATTAGGAAATTAAAATCACTAATTCAGAGAGTTGCTACAAAGATAAGTAAACAAGTAAGAAAACTTCTTAGTTGCTTGCTTCAACCTTCTCCCTGCGTACTCCTTGATTTGCCTCCGTTGGATCTTGATCTCTAGAGGAAAATTATGAATAGATGTTAAAACTAAGTTAGGCTAATGTTTGCTACCCCTAAAAAGGTCCTAGATAGCCCCTATTTATAGTTTTTTAAAGTAGTATCCTAAACGGGGTAGAATTGGGTTTATTATGGCTGAAAAAAGATGTTTTTGCGCATTTTTCCGATAAACTCCAGCGCCAACTCCGGCCTAAACTCCGGTACCGGAGTTGGGACTAGAGAAACATTGGCTAGAAGACTCTAATCGACACTAGCACTAGTTATAACAGACTCGTTGATGGATCGCTCGGGATCCACGCATGGATCTATTTTGAAACCAAAAAACTCTATCAACGAGACTAAATCAGTTCTTGCTCAAAACATGAAAGTTGTAACTCTTTAAATGATAGATTGCCATTTTGTTATTTATTTTATAATTAATTTCCCCTATTACCTTACAAATGTGAATTAATTATCAGATTCTACTCATTTTTGGCATTTGTGCTTTCTGCAGGGAGTTGAAACAAAAAAGTAATAAAAAAGTGCAAATTCCTCACTACATTGGCTTCGAGACGTCTAGCGTTGCAAAGTGGGCTACAAACCATGCCAAAATTGCAAAGTGGGCCAAAATTGCAAAGTGGTGCACCTTCGGATTAGTCAAATTAATTTTGACGGTAGTTGGCAAAAGAGTTTAAGTAGTAATAGGAAACAAGAGTCCAAACAGAGATTGTTTCTTTATCCAATGGTCAATCACGGCAGACAAGGAAAAATTTGGGGGCACTTCCTTTTTTCTTTTTTTGGTAGTTTCCAAAGAGGGGAAGGTCATGAAAGACTAGGAGTCTTCATTTTACTCCTCTTGGTAGGCAGATAGGAAGGAGGGATTTAGATAGGAAAATAGTAGACAATCTTGACTACATGGGGATTTTGACCTTTTTGTCCTTTTGTGGCTATT